GGAATTCAAGAAGTGGACCAGTGAGGCGCTGGAGGATCTTCGGCCGTGCTTTGACTGCACAGACTGGGATGTTTTCAGGACTGCTACTGACAGTCTGGATGAGTTCACAGAGGCTGTAACTTCCTACATCGGCTTCTGTGAGAACAGCTGTGTACCATCATGCACCAGGGTGAGTTACAACAACAACAAACCCTGGTTCAGAGCGGAACTCAGAACACTACGCCTGCAGAAGGATCAGGCATTTAGGAGTGGGGACAAAGACTTGTACACAGAGGCAAAATACAAGTTTAGCAAGGCGGTGAGAGATGCTAAACGACTGTACTCTGAGAAACTCCAACAACAGTTCTCAGCAAGTGACTCTGCTTCGGTCTGGAGAGGCCTCAAACACCTCACCAACTACAAGCCAAAACCCCCCCACTCCATGAATGACCTCCGCCTGGCAGAGGAGCTGAATGAGTTCTACTGCAGATTTGAAAGACAATGTCCTGATTCCATCCCCCACAGCTCCACCAACCTGCTGCAGCTCCCCTCCCTCCCCCAGCCCATCAGGTGCTCACGCCTCTTCAACTAGATCACCTTCCCCTCCCCCACCAGCAACGACCCTCTCTATTCTGGAGAGAGACGTTAACCGGCTCTTTAGAAAACTAAATCCCCGTAAGGCAGCCGGTCCGGACTCAGTCTCCCCTCACTCCCTGAAGCATTGTGCTGACCAGCTGTCTCCGGTGTTCACTGACATCTTCAACACCTCCCTGGAGACATGCCACGTACCAGCCTGCTTCAAGGCCTCCACCATCATCCCTGTTCCCAAGAAGCCCAGGATCACAGGACTCAATGACTACAGGCCCGTCGCCCTGACCTCTGTAGTCATGAAGTCTTTTGAACGGCTAGTCATGACCCACCTGAAGTCCCTCACCGACCCCCTCCTGGACCCCCTGCAGTTCGCCTATAGAGCCAACAGGTCTGTGGACGATGCTGTCAACATGGCCCTCCACTACATCCTCCAGCATCTAGACTCCCCAGGAACCTACGCCAGGATCCTGTTTGTGGACTTCAGCTCTGCCTTAAACACCATCATCCCGTCTCTGCTGCAGGACAAACTCTCCCAGCTGCACGTGCCCGACTCCACCTGCAAGTGGATCACAGACTTCCTGTCTGACAGGAAGCAGCATGTGAAGCTGGGGAAACATGTCTCAGCCTCTCGGACCATCAGCACCGGTTCCCCTCATTTTTTTAATTCCGATTATTAACTTTTCTGAATCAAGACCGAATCGTTCTACAGAGAATCGAGAGAAATCGAAAAATCGATTGGATGGTCAGTTCTGACTTCTCTGAGCATTTGCAATAAAAACGCTTGAACTACATTATGTTTCATGTGTCGTAATAGGGGATAAAATAAGAAATGTTTAATAAAATAATTGTTTTAGAAGTATTTGATAAAAATGAGTTGGACTAATTAAATGTAATCCTATTCCATGGATGCTCTTAGATTGAGTTGTGGCTACACATATTTATTGGATGGAAATCCTGCACACAAATAAATTAAGTTAGTTAGTTAAATTAGTTAGTTCCAAAAATTAGTTCTTCCAATGACTTTAAATTGAGTTTGAACGAACAACATTTTTTATATTTGATTAATGGTATCTATTCATTTGAGATAAATTAGATCAGTCAGGTCTACACATATGTATTGGATGGAAATCCTGAACACAAATAAATTGAGTTTTTCCAATGACTTATTTTTTTGAGTGTACCGATACCACTGATATTGATACAGGACACCTCCCCTTACCCCAAAAGTCTTAAAATGTCTTAAATTAAAATTCGGGTAATTAAGGTCTTAAGTTGTCTTAAATTTCACCTAAAGTTGCTGTAGATACTCATTTTTTGCCAGTGCGCTTAATGACGACGAGAAAGCACAGTGGCGCATCGTAAAACATCTAATCGTTGATTAATTTAGTATTGTGCAAAATGAGTCTCCGTAATTTCATAGCTGTTTACGGTACGTCGGCTACAGACGCTGACGTCAGGCTGCGTGTCGCAGCAGTTGTCAATGTGAGGTTGAAAATGCAAAGAAGATGGGGAAGTGCAAATTTAACGACAAGTGGATGGAAGAGGATGCATTTAGGAGGTGGTTGGCGCCGGTTGAAAACAACAATGAGGCAATGTGTAAACTACGCAAAAGACCTTTTCATTAGGGACCATGGGGCTCAAAACCGTTGAGTCGCACATGAAAGGAGGAAAGCACCAGCGATACGTTGCAGCAGCTAGCCATAGCGGGGCCAGGTTAATCCCTGCAACGACGTTACAAGTTCAGACGCCACCTCTCAGTCGGCTGTAACAAGTTTCATTTCAACACCAGACACCCAAAAGGCAGAGGTACTGTGGGTTCTCCATATGGTAAGTATTGGAGCACATTTAGACTCTCAAAAGGACTTCCGTGAAGAACAGGTTGCCATGGCAACAGCGTAACCAAAAGTTTTTAATAACTTTTAATCACCAAGGCCTTGGAACTGTTTTGTCAAAATGTATCTAGCCCCAGTGTCACTCGGCTGTAACATTGCATGGAAATGTAAAAAACGTTTTGACGAAGTTTTTGGATCTTACGGCCCGCGGGCCACATCCGGTCCTTTGTGCGTCCCTGTCCGGCCCGCGTGAGGCCAATCATAAATTACAAAATAAATTTAAAAAATATCTATGTCGAGTGTGCAATACAACTGTGCTGGTTTTATTTTGAAAAGTGTTATTTATGGACGTATATCCGTGCGTAACCTGTGAGTGAAGGTGCACAGCGTCAAGTGATGGCCGGTTACCCCCGAGATGTCCGCTCACGCTAAAAAAAGAAAAGTTGATGACGAATGCCGTATTTTCAACAAGACACTTTACAGAAATTAAAGGTAAAGCCGTGTGCTTAATTTGTGGTACACAGGTTGCTGTGTTTAAAGATTATAATTTAAATCGCCACTACACGACGAAGCACGAGGATAAATACCGGAATTTGTCTGATGAAGAACACGCAAGGGAGGCTGATGCGTTGATGGTAAAACTGCAAACCCAACGAGGACTGTTTACCAAACTTCACACCCCCAGAGATGCAGCCGCCAGGACTAGTTTCGTCATTTCTCACAAAATCGCCAGAAAAAGTAAGGCGTTTTCTGATGGAGTTTATAAAGGAGTGCTTATTGGACTCTGTTGCGCTGATATGCCCGGAGAAGAAGGGCGCATTTGAGAACGTGTCACTCTCCCGACGCACTGTAATGAGGCGGGTTGAGGCCATCGCTGGAAACTTGGAGCTTCAGCTGAAGAATAGAGCGGCCGACTTTGACTGTTTTTCTCTGGCTTTGGATGAGGGCTGCGATGTACGTGACACCGCCCAGCCGCTCATCTTCTTACGTGGGATAACTGCAGACTTTCAAATCACGGAGGAGCTGGCAGCCATGCAGTCAATTAAAGGGACAACCACAGGTAATGACTTGTTCACAGAGGTAAATGCGTGTTTGGACATGTTAGGACTGAAATGGGACAAGCTGGCAGGTGTGACAACAGATGGTTGTCCAAATCTGACGGGGAAAAATGTTGGACTTTTAAAGAGGATGCAGGATAAAGTGACAGAAATTAACCCTGTGAAGAAATTGACATTTTTGCATTGTATTATACAGGTAAGTGTTGTGTAAGACAGTGTTAAAAATTAACCATGTTGTTGATGCTGTAACTAAAACAGTTAACTTTACCAGAGCGAGAGCGTTAAATCATAGACAATTTGTTGCACTTTTGGAGGAAATGAAAGTGAACATGGTGACATAGGCTACCACAGCAACGTCAGGTGGCTCAGCCTGGGCAAAGTACTGAAAAGTGTCTGGGACCTGAGAGACCAGATTCAGAATTTCTGTGGGAAGAAAGGACATGTCATCCCAGAACTTTCAGATGAAGACTGGGTGGCAGACCTCGGATTCGCTGTGGATGTGACTGCACTCATGAACGAACTGAATGTCAAACTGCAGTGCAAGGGCTTTTTTGTGCATGAGATGTACAGTGCAGTGACGGCTTTCATGAGAAAGTTGGAGCTTCTCTCAAGCCAAGTGAAGGACAACATTCTGACCCACTTTCCAACACTAAAGGAAGCCACAAGATCAGCCGATCACCTCCACAAGTACTGAAGCAAGTTTGAAGCACTCCATGGAGAGTTTTCGAGGCGATTTCAAGATTTCAAAACTCTTGAGACTGAAATGCACATGGTTTCTTCTCCCTTCAACTGCAGTGTGGACAATGCACCAAGCGATGTTCAGATGGAGCTCATTGACCTGCAGTCTGACCTACTTCTGGCAGAGCACTTCAGGTCAGTCTCACTGCTGGACTTTTACTCTCTATCACTGATGAGCACCCCTAAGCTGTCCTTCGCATAGCCACCTCCGACATTCAGCCAGATTTCAATGCCCTTGTTCAAGCCCAGAACAGACTGGATTATTCGCGCTGAAGAGGTAAAATGAGGTGGAAAACATAACAAGTTATTGTTTGTTGTATTGCAGTATTTCTATAAACGTGTTAAGTTGTTTGTTGTTTTCTTATTTCAATTTCACATAGCCTAATATAAATATTTAAGGATTAAGAGTTTAAATAAAACCATCAAAAGCAATCTGCTTTTGTACAAAGTTAAGTTAGGTTAAATTAAATAATTATTATTATTTATCTACGGTATATCAAAAATAATATTGAGCAAAATTTAATTGAAATATTGTCGATGTGACCCTCCAGCAGTGCTCGGGTTGCTCATGCGGCCCCCGGTAAAAATGAATTGCCCACCCTTGTGTTAGGGAGTGATGTGCTGATTATTTATTCTTGGCCAATGGTGTCTAGCCACGATTTTGGAGTATTGACTTATGTTGAAGAATCCGATTGGACAACATGTACCAGGTTTCCAGATGTGATTGGACGGTCGTTGTGCGTGGTGCACTGCCATTGGTCCGTGGTCCCCGGGTTGATAAAGTCAGCTCTTGCGGAGGGAGAGGCGTATTGTCAGTCTTTCTTGGCTGTGCTGCGCGTATCTCCCGGCGTTGTTTCAGGAGCTGAAGACACACCTCGTCGTTCACGCGGTTCTGCAAAATGAAACGAGTTTGGGCGATAGGTCTCCTCTTTGCACTCGTTGCCTTTGGTGAGTGGCGTATTTTTTTGTCGCTATTTTGTCTTACTTTTAATTACCCAACATTCTAGCTAACGTTAGCCATTGAGCTAAGGCGAATGTTAACCTGGTTCTTCTCCACTGCTTTTTTTTGTCCAATTTGTAGTGCTAGACCGCTTGATAAATTGGGCTTCAACGCACTTCTTGTAGACACACTAATATTTCTTACTGCTTTTCGGGAGCAAAACCTCGATGCGACGTTTCCGTTCAGTCCGGTTGATGCCGGCTAACATCGCCACTAAAGCGTTACTATGGTATCATGTAACGTTACGTTAACGTGACTTCCGTTTTCCACTTAACTAACATGCTGCCGTTCTTATTTAATAGTGATTTCTACTTCGCAAGGCCTCGTTCTAAATGAAAGGGATCTTGAGTGGTGAATACGTCTGAAAATACACTTGTAATTGATCCATTTTGGTTTTAATCCCCCTGCAGCTGCTGTGAAGGCGGAGGATGAGCTGGACGTCGACGGGGTGGTGGAGGAGGACTTTGGTAAAAGCAGAGATGCCTCCAGAACAGATGATGAGGTGGTACAGAGGTAGGTGTCTCCCCCCCCCCCCCCCCTTTTTTTTTGTTTGAATACCTTTTTAAGAATGTGTGAACCGAGGTTGTCCAGATCAGGAAAAGGTCAACTAAACCCAGAATTAACAGCACAAGGTCGACATGACCGGGCGTGTGCACACACATGCTCATAGCGGCTCTTGAAATGTAGTGGTGGTAAAGACCTGCAACCTTTTGTCGCACAGCTGTCCATTAAGACCTCGGGCCCCTGTGTGTCTTTGGCTTTAACCTGGCTACTGATCCCCCAGAGGCAACGACAGATTTGTTTTCTGTTTGCAGCTGTGATTTGTTGTCGTGCCCTGCCCTGATTTAATGTGGTGTTTGTGTGCATCTGTATCTTCAGAGAGGAGGAGGCTATCCAGCTGGATGGTTTGAATGCAGCTCAGATAAAGGAAATCCGAGAGAAGTCTGAAAAACACGTCTTCCAGGCAGAAGTCAACCGAATGATGAAGCTGATTATCAACTCCCTCTACAAGAACAAGGAGGTGAGTGAGGATAAAGAATATCTTTATGTATCACGGTGGATATACGGCCATCAGAGAGGAATAATGATGATAATAATAATGAACTTATTTAATTGCCGACCGTAAAACCACTTGAAACTTACTCCCAGATAACTATTAGATTGTCTTTCAATTTTTATAATGTTCCACTAGAAGTGGCCAATGTGTACAAAAATAATTTTAGGGTTGGGGCTCTGGCATTTTGACTATTGGGGAGCAATATTGTGCTACAGATCTCTTGCGTAATGGTTGAACTAATAATACATTTTCTTTTGTCAGATCTTTCTTAGGGAGCTCATTTCCAACGCTTCGGATGCTCTGGATAAGATCCGCTTGTTGTCTCTGACCAATGACGAGGCAATGGCCTCCAATGAAGAGCTGACCATAAAAATAAAGGTACAGGTACAGGCAGGAACAACTGTACGACGCAGTCCTTATTGGGAATGTTGATCGCTGTTCATGATCTACTGGTAACATAATTGCTTTTTTTCTTTTTCTCCAGTCTGATAAGGAGAAGAACATGCTTCACATCACTGACACTGGCGTTGGAATGACAAAAGAAGATCTGGTGAAGAACTTGGGCACCATTGCCAAGTCTGGCACCAGCGAGTTCCTCAACAAGATGTCAGACATGCAGACTGAGGACCAATCCACCTCGGAGCTTATTGGCCAATTTGGTGTGGGTTTCTACTCTGCGTTCCTCATCGCCGACAAAGTCATCGTGACATCCAAACACAATAACGACACCCAGCACATCTGGGAGTCCGACTCCAATCAGTTCTCCGTTATTGAGGACCCCCGCGGAGACACACTGGGCAGAGGAACCACCATCACGTAGGTTTAATGTTCTGTTTTTTTCTTCTTCTTTTTTTAGAAGGTTTTCTTAGAGGTTTTGGCTACTTTATTAAGGATGATAAACTGCTGATAGTTGTGTGGGTCTTCACACCTGGTCTTCATGTTCTAGCATAAAACTTGAATAATAATGACATTTTCTAATCGCAGACTGGTCCTGAAAGAGGAGGCCTCCGACTATCTCGAGTTGGAGACCATTAAAAACCTCGTCAAGAAATACTCCCAGTTCATCAACTTCCCCATCTACGTCTGGGCTAGCAAGGTGATTACTTGAGACCGGCCCCCCACCCACACTTCTTTGACAGAGTTGAGCCCAGTGTCTTATGAAGTGACATAATTTCTTCTTTCTCACAATATGCCAGACTGAGACGGTTGAGGAGCCCATTGAGGAAGATGCTGAAGCAGCAGAGGAACCAGAGAAAGAGGTTGCTGAGGAGGAGGCAGAGGTAGAGGTGGAAGACAAAGACAAGCCCAAGACTAAGAAGGTAGGAAGTTTGTGTGGGAATGATCACGTATGATCTTTAAATAAGACTTTGCATAGTCAAATCGGTTTGGTCAGGTGCAGGGCTGTAGTGGAGGGTAAACGCACGTAAACGCCGTTTACGCACCTCTTGAATTTTGGAAATAGCGTTTACGCACCTATAAGTAGAGTTTACGCACCTATAAGTGGCGTTTACGCACCTATAAGTGGCGTTTACGCACCTCAAAGTTCCCTGCGCCTTGTATTCTTCCGTTGGAATAATCCGAAATAAACTTGGTGTAATTTTAAAACAGCTAAGACTACGTTTCCTATTGTTGAACATGTAAACGCCGTAGTCTGAATCCTTTTCAGCTGCGCTGTATTACGGTCTGTGAGCATCCAATCAGTGCCTTGCGGCTGCAGCAGTGACCAATCAGGATCCAGGAGGTGTGTAAACCCAACCTTTCTTACCTCACGGACCGGTTTCATGTCAGACAATATTTCGCGGACCGGTCGAGAAGGTCCGACGGGGGGGGGGGTGGGGGGGGTGGGGGGGGGGGGTAGTAGTCGTGCGCTCTGTGTTCGCTGGTCGTGCACGGTAAAAGGACAAGAAAAACGCCTGGTGACGCGTAGTTTAGAAAACAAGTCAGTTCTCAATGTGAAAAAAAACATGCTGTATAGTCTATTTATGATGACATAGTACATGAGTGTTCCTTTAACTTATGTTGTCAGTGTAATTGACAGGCTGCTTAACTGGTTAACTCTTAAATTCAACATATTTTTTCAGGCAGTGAGAGGACAGGCAATGATGCAGAGAGCACAGGGAGAGGAGAAACACCAGGTCGAATAGAGAGAGGAGAAGCACAGAGGAGCCATGAACCCCAGAACGCGCGTTCTGGGGTTCATGGCTCCTCTGTGCAAGGCAGGACCTGACGTGGAGGACAAGGAGGCCCTCTGGGCACTACTGTAAAAAGGAGATAGTTCTTAATCTGCAATTGTGTTGTTGTGTTGTGTTGACATACTTTTCTCTACTGTTTTCTTAAATTTAATAAACTACTAACACATGTATTCATTGTCATTAATTGTATATGACTTTTACTGATAACATAATGTAATATAGCCAGGATAGCCAGGACGCTTTGTGTTGCGTTGCTTCGCATCGCGTCGAGGTCTGTATGATCACAAAATTCAGAGTTTACCCACCTCTAATTTTACCACTACAGCACAGGTCAGGTGTTTCCTTTAAGCAGTGTCTATTTATTATTTTCTTGCTTTATTGATCCCCTTTTGTTTAAGCTGTGTAGTAAAACGTAAATAACGTGATTTACTGGTTACAAAGACCAGTGTGCGGGCTGCTTTCTGTTGTACTGACACGGCACAGAGATCAAGAGACAATTCTCTACTTGCGTTTCATGGCTATAAATGTTACTTTTGGTACAAACTCCATTGTAGCCATCTACAGACAGAAGGTAACGAACAGCCACGGAAGAGACAAGCCCCAAAAAGCGTTTTTTACGCGTCTCCCTGGGTTTTATATATTGATACCTGAATTGAAAATTCACGTTTTTTTCTTATTGTGTTTGTAGGTTGCGAAGACTGTGTGGGACTGGGAACTAATGAATGACATCAAGCCCATCTGGCAGAGACCAGCCAAGGAGGTCGAGGAGGAAGAGTACAAGGCTTTCTACAAAACCTTCTCCAAGGTGGGCACCTGAACGCAGCGCTTTGTGGACCCACCGCGTTCACGGATGCGGCCTCCTGGTCGACTCGACTTGTTTCATGTTATTTAATCAAACTCCCTGTTTCCCGCTTTAACAGGACTCTGATGACCCTCTGGCCCACATCCACTTCACGGCCGAGGGGGAGGTGACCTTCAGATCCATCCTGTTCGTACCCACGGCAGCGCCCCGCGGCCTGTTTGACGAGTACGGCTCCAAGAAGAACGACTACATCAAGGTGCTTCCTCAACTATGAGTCACTTTTCTTGTAGTTGTGTCCTTTCTTTCTCTATAAGGATGTTCTGGATTTCCTCTCAATTCCTGTTTTCTAAATGATTGTTTCTGTCACAGCTGTTTGTAAGGAGGGTTTTCATCACTGACGACTTCAACGACATGATGCCCAAGTACCTGAACTTTGTGAAGGGAGTGGTGAGTGTCTCTAAACTCTACTGGAGACTCTGGCATGTGCTCATGTCCACAGTTTGGTCTTTGCCCAATCAGCACTGTGATTTAGTAATTGTTTGTTTTGCTAGGTCGACTCTGATGACCTTCCCCTGAATGTGTCAAGAGAGACTCTGCAGCAACACAAACTGCTCAAGGTGAGTTAACATCTGACATTTATACACTATCTTCTTATAATCTTGAATCACTCCAAAGTTATTGTGATTGATGTTTATCAATGAGCAGAAAGAGGGAACCTCCTTTGCAGGAAACACACACAATGACTCAGCTCATTGGATTAAAAGCTGCTTTTCATCGCGGACACATTTGTCCCGTATTTTCCTCCACAACTTTGTTCCCCTTTCCCCGTTTTATCTCTTAATTTCGACTTTCTATCCCCCTTCTTTAGTGCCGAAATGGGCTTCTATAGTTCTGTGAATGCATAACTCCAGCCAATCCAAAGACGGGGTTTGTAACCAATTAGATGTAGTGATACCATGGCGACTGGCTCCGCCATGTACTGTCTAAAAGAACAACAGCAAGCGCGTAGAAAACACCTTCAAGCGCGAACCGAGATTAACTTCGCGAGCAACGAACTTCACGTTCCGCCAGACTTTTTGCTCGCAGATGTTTGATTTACACGCGCGCATCAACCTGATTTGCGCTCTCGTAGTTTCGGAGTTCTTCATAGTTTTGAATTTTCTTCCAGCAAAATGCAATTTTTTCATACTACGGGTTTATTCCCTGGGATGAGTTTGGTCTTTTACAACTCTAGGAAATCACGAAAATAGGCCAAAAGGCAGATTTTAAACCATTAATTGCAGCACCCCCTATTCTTCAAATATTCTCAAAAATTGTGTGTGTTCAGGGGTTCAATGTTCACATGTTCACAAGTTTGGTGAGGGCAGACCAAACCATTTGGAAGTAATGACTCTTACAAGATTAAGCCACACCCCTTGCGAAGTTCATTAGCCCATAACTTAACTTAACTCAAAACAAAAAGATAACAACACCATTTTGATAATTGGAAATAGCGTTTAGGAGAAATGGCCGAAAACGTGTTTTTCACAAAATTCGAAATGGCGGAAAATCTAGTTTCATGGTTGACTTTTTGTAGAACATGTCCAAGAGCACATGTGTGAAGTCGATCGGACATCGGGGGGGGAACTGGCCTAGTGGGGTACTTTTTTACCTTTTTAGGGGGCACTATGGAGACATTTCTTTGTACCCAAATGCAAGACCCCAAAATTATCAAATTTTTTAACAGTCCAGATATACATGCCAAATTTAACGACTTTTTGAATATGATAAAGGCCTCAAAAAGGCATTTGATTTGTGAGAATAATAATAATTCTATGAAATACAATAGGTTCCTCTACGACTAGTCGTAGTAAGGACCCTAATAAAGTGTAAAGTAACAGCAGCTGTGATCCTCGCTCTCTCTCTCCATCCAGGTTATCCGCAAGAAGCTGGTGCGCAAGTCTTTGGACATGATAAAGAAGATTGCAGAGGCGCAGTACAACGAGAAGTTTTGGAAGGAGTTCGGAACCAACATCAAACTGGGCGTCATTGAGGATCACTCCAACAGGACCCGTCTGGCCAAGCTGCTGCGCTTCCAGACCTCCAACAGCGACACAGAGGTGGCCAGCCTGGAGCAGTACGTGGAGCGCATGAAGGAGAAGCAGGACAAGATCTACTTTATAGCTGGTACCAGCAGGAAGGAGGTGAGTTTGGGGAATTCAAACTGTTTCTGCTTGAGTTAACTGACAGGAGCAGCATAAATTGTCAAGGTGGGTGGGAATGCCACAGAGACAATGTGACATCAACTTGATCCCCTTCTCCATCTGCAGGCCGAGTCTTCTCCTTTCGTGGAGCGGCTGCTGAAGAAAAGCTACGAGGTGATCTACCTGACGGAGCCAGTGGACGAGTACTGCATCCAGGCACTGCCCGAGTTTGACGGAAAGCGCTTTCAGAACGTCGCAAAGGAGGGCGTGAAATTTGATGAGAGTGATAAGACCAAGGAGAAGAGAGAGGCCCTGGAGAAGGAGTACGAGCCTCTCACCACCTGGCTGAAGGATAAGGCCCTGAAGGACATGGTAGATAATTATTTTGTGATATTCGTGACGTGGGGCCCGAATAAATATTCAAAGCAGTTGCTAAGTTCTGTCTGCTTCATATTATTTGCCACAGATCGAGAAGGCTGTCGTCTCTCAGAGGCTGACCAACTCCCCCTGCGCTCTGGTTGCTAGTCAGTACGGCTGGTCAGGAAACATGGAGAGGATCATGAAGGCACAGGCTTACCAGACCGGAAAAGACATTTCCACAAAGTGAGTTTTATGATCCAATTCATCATCGTGCTGAATGTTCCCTAAGCTCCTTTATGCTAATTCCCGTCCTCTCTTTAGCTATTATGCCAGCCAGAAGAAAACCTTAGAAATCAACCCCAAACATCCTCTGATCAAGCAGATGCTCAACAGAGTCCATGTAAGTCTGACCATGGTCCTGTCACTACTTTAGTACTGCTTGTAACGATGCCATTGCACGTAATTTAAAAACTATTCATAATTGTGCTGTCATTTCTTTATAAAGTTTAAGTTGTTTTTTTTACACGTGAAACCGGACCAGAGAATTGATCATTTTCATTCCCTTGTCCATCAGGATGATGCTGAGGACCAGACTGCGTCAGATCTGGCGGTTGTCCTGTTTGAGACGGCCACGCTGCGCTCCGGCTACCAGCTGGCTGACACAAAGGTCTACGGAGAGAGGATAGAGCGCATGCTGCGACTCAGCATGAACGTAGCTCTGGACGAACAGGCGAGTGGACGCGAGCCATTTTATGATGGCTGCGGTTTCCTTTTTTAAAAGGACGGGCCGTCAACATTTTAGGGTGACCAGTTCGGTCATTTTAACTGCGCTCGTTCATGGCCGTAGATGGTTAGGCAGTTATGTTACGATAACTATGCTACAGATTGAGGAGGAACCGGAAGAGGAGCCAGAGGAGGAGGAAGAGCCAGCAGAGGACGACTATGAAGATAAAGAACAAATTGTAGATGACAAAGAAGAAGAGGAAACGGTGAGATTCCTACAATTCTGTGGGATCTTCACAATGTAAAAAGAAATCACATGGAGTTTTTGGTTCTCGAAGAAGTTTCTTCATAACTTTTTTTGTTCCCCTGCAGACAAAATTTGACAAAACTGAACTGTGAAGCACTGAATGAAAAGCGTGAAAAGAGCTGGAATTGGATGTGAGTCTTGTTCCAGCGCCACCGTGCTCAACATCTTCATGGGAGAGGGGGGGTTCTCAAAATTTGAACTGCAATAAAAACAGATTTCTTGATAATTCCAGACGTACATTGATCCGTACGATACTTTCATGACAATAAATTTACAGAATATTTTGTATATACAAGTTAACAAAAGTAAACATTTGTCTAACATTTATATATTTATGAACAACTTTGATCTTAGTAAAAAAATACAATTAAGTAAAGACGTTTTACTAGGTTCTTTGACAGAATTAACAAACGTGAATCCTAAAAAATTTTTGGATAACTTAAAGGTTTTAGAACTTTGAATATATGAAATCCTGAACATCAAACATGTTCACAAATAACCGTGAAATACCAAAACAATTACAAACAAAGACAATAATTTTACTTCTCTGCATTTTTAAGACTTTTGTAGTCCATTTGGAGGCATTGGCTGTGGAACCAGCGCAAACAGCTGTCAAACTGGATCTAAAAAAAAAAGAGACAAAATGAAGCATCTTTATTTACTGATGGTTGAGTAATCAACACATGATATTATAAATTAAATCAGTTGAACAAAGACGAGACAATGACCAGAGTAAAATAATGAATTACCCAGTTTGTGAGAGCAGGCCCCGGACCGGGTGTTTTTTTGGCAGCGCACATCGCACAGTTTGTTTCTGGGTCAAACACTGATATACAAACACACATTTTAGATCTTTAATATTACAAAATTAAAATATAACCTATAAGATTTCCCATCTCACCAGATCCTTGAAGTATTTTCAGAGCCAACTGCTGGCGCTGATGTGACATCTCTTCTGTTGTTGTGTCAAAGTCCATTTTCAGAATATTTGGAACGGCCTCCATGACTTTCTTTGCCATCTAAAAAATGGCACAAAGTGTGACGTTTCAGCAATTGTAAATTCTGTTAAGCCAACTTAATTCCAACATGTAAAAAATTAATTTGTGAAAAGCTTGTACTTGTGGAAATATTAATCGCACCAAGAATACAAACAACCCACAGCTACTTCCATCTTCCTGCATTGGGTATTGCATAACTCCTCCTTTCCATTGTCCATCCACCCAGTCAGACTTAGTGTGGAGGATCCTCCTCGTCCTCACACTGTGAGAGTAATTTATGAAATTGTCAATGTGTGGTATGTAAACGAATACAGATACAAATTTGTATATAATAAGTTGTATTTTATTTGTAATGTCTGTATGTTATTGATTATTTTTCAATCGTGTCTATTATTTGTAAAGTTGATCTGAAAAAGTAACTTTTATTATCCATTTTTTCATTAGTGTTCGCTGCGGAAAAGAAGTCGCCCCTTTTTGCACCTACAAACTTTACCTAGCCTTGTCTAATCCTCTATATGGCGTTTTGCATCGCGATGGTAAGTTGGGTCAAATGATACTGTCAAAGTATTTTTTTAGGGTTTGGAGAAGTGTATCAAAAGACAACCTGAGTTTTCATTTTTTTAATTGTTAGTGTAATTCATTTTAAAAAGACAATTTTTTTAGTTGTCTCACTTCATGCCGATTCGTCATCAACCACCACCACATTTGAGTTTCTTTTATTGATTGGACCACAATTCGTAAATTAAAAGAAAGATATGATGGAATGTAATTCATGTATTTCTTCATAAAAGCTTAAATTTTACCTCCACCTTTTGTAGCATGTTTGGAGTCTGCGAGCTCTGTCGAATTGGGTTAACCAAATAAACGGTACTCTGTGCAGCCCCGATGTACTGAAAATAGAAGAAATACATAAGTTGAGAAAGATATTTATGACATCCCCAAAGAAAGGAAGACCATAACAATAAATGTAGTCACTACTAACCAGAAACTTCCAGTGTGTATTTTGTATGTTCATAGTCGTTAAAGTTGATCTGTAACACGTTCAAAAAAATACCCTATGGTTAATCTGTTGATCTACTGAATCTGCTTCATTGAAATTAACACAGTAATAGACAAGTAAACAGCTAACATATAAACAGCTATCAAACATTTGATTGGCTATCTAGACCAGCTCTCTCTTCCGAAAGAGCATCTCACCAGCCATGTAATGATTGAGAACATAAATAGAACTCCCCAAATGTAGCTCATTCACAGTCTGACGCAAGAGACACTCAATGACCTAAAGAGATTGAGAGTCTATTAAACATCAAAAATAAAAGTCAGGTTTTGGTGAATCACAATTGAATGGCTTACTATACGTTGTTGTTTAAAGAGTAGATTAACAAAATAGTCTGTCACAGGTTTAGAAGTTCACAAGTTTGGAATTACATCTTCAAAAGTACTGTATTACTGGATCAAATTTCAATACATAGAAACAGCCACTTAATATAATCAATCAATAATTTGAAGAAATCAACAATCCATCCTGTCCTTTATATAGTGGCCAATGGAAGCAGCATGAAAAGGGTAAATATGTAGTGGAGCCATTTGTTTGCGTTATTGTTTTGTTTTTCTGATGTTTTTATCTGTTCTACTTTACAATTACATGCATACCTCGCCTGCAAGCCAGTTGTGAGGTTGAGGTGTTTGTAGCTCACTGAGGTGGATGATGAAGCTGTTTCCTCTTATCTGTGAGGCTATCACAGACACAGGTACATTGGTCTTTGCCTGGAACTATTGATAAATCGTTTTTTATTGCATTTCAAACTTTGAGAAATGGTGTATTTGAACTTCCAAAAATAGGGCTTTTACTTTGAAGAAATCTCCAAATCTGTACAGTAAAAATATTTCACTTTCAATAGTGTATAGCATAGTATAATAGAAATACTTCAATAGTAGTCAGAGATGTCCTTAAACCATGTATGTTAGTCTTTGAGTGGAATTATTGAGAAAAGTATTTTTATTGCAGTTCAAACTTTGAGAAATGGTCTTTTTGAACTTTGATAATTATCTAACTTACAGTAAAGGTATTCCTTTCTTGTACAACAGTAGTCAGAATGTTCCTGAACACACATACTTCAGTCATTGTCCAGAATATTTGATCAAATACCTTTTATTCCGGTTACTTGTTCAATACCGTAAATATCAGCATACACATGCACTAAAATTCAAACGTCGGCTGAGTTGACCGCAGTAAAAGACGGAAGGTTGAAAAGTTGTTTTTAATTTTTTTATTGATGAGACGCAGGTGCGAAAAGAGGAAGTAAGAATAGACTGTGAGCAATGAATAACAGGAGATGTGATGATTTGTGATTAATTTGCCTGATTTGGTTTTTCATTTTAAGATGTGATATATGGGAGATGAAGCCTCCTCTGCCTGTTTTTCCTCTAGCTCTCTCTCCAGCTCTCTTCATCCACCCGTCACGTCCTCCTCCAGCTCCGCAGTCCCACCACAAACCACAGCCCTGGTTCCACAGAGCCCGAGCCCAGACCTTGTGTCTACATTGACCAAAGCTATGAGCCAGAACTTCAGCATCCAGCAACAGGCCAGCACCCACCAGACCTGATCGAGGGACTGGTAAGCAACAAATACCAGTACCCCTAGGAGTCCTGGTATCCTGAGAGTGTCTGTACTCAAATCCCAAATCTCATTTTTATGCCAACAGCAACAGTGCTGCGGAAAACAGAAAGAAATACTAAATACGATGTTGATGTTGAAGAGTCTAAAACCTGTTTGTTCTTATGTGTATTTCTGAGACAAATAGAGACGTGGAGGCCTGAGGACCAGGGGTCTGTGGGGGGACAAAATGAATGGAGCAGGGAGGAGGCCTTCAAAAGACGAGATGGTGTTTGGATGGAGGAGAGCCAGGGGAGGACAGGCGGAGGTGGTGGATCCCTCTTCAATGGACAGCAGGTCGTGTGCAAACAAACACACAGCCAGAGGCTGATGGGGAACAGGGGAGAAATAAAATAAAAGCGAGATAAAAGAAATAAATTAACTTGAATGGTAGAGGATGTAAGGTGGTATTTTTGTGCAATTCCGGAAGGACACAGAACTGCTATTTTTATCCCCAGGTTGAATGAATAAAGAAAATACATTAATAAATGTATTTATTAATTGATAAAATGTCCCTATTAGAGTGAGAGTACAAACGAACACCAGCACACAGAATATCTGGCCGTGCAATTAATAATAATAGATCCAAAAACAGGTTTACAAACAGAACAACAATTGGTATCATAAAATAATATTTTAATTAACCTGTTTTTGTCAAAAATAATGAAAGTAATTGGAATGAAGCACAAGTGACTGATGTGAAAGAGTAACTCAACAAGCTACACAACAATGGTTTAGCTAAAAGAGGTAATTAATTAGTCACGCAAGCGGTAAAGGAAATTCATGAAGTAACTCCTTAATCAGAACAAGAGAACAAATAAGAGAACAAGAATTGGAGACATGCACTGAAATGTTTCTACTGAGAGACTCAAGGTCAGAGATGAGAAATGCACAGGCATTCTTTGAAACAAAGACGAGAGAAGACTAAACAAATCCTTGTTGGAACAACGAAGGGTTTTGGGAAACTGACTTGTCACTGAACGGTAGGCAGATGTGTGGGGTTAAGCCTGATTTATGCTTCTGCGTTTTCAGAGCGACGCAGACGCAAGATCCCCTTGCGTGTCCCTTGCATCACTTTTCACACCTCCTTGCGTTCTTGCGTGTGTCGAGCCATTTTTCTAGGCTTGCGGCAAGCCTCCCGCAGCGCACAAGGCTGTGATTGGTCCGCTTTACGGAGTCTCACATTTCCGCTTTCATAGCCCGATACCGACATTATTAAAACAAAGAATGTTTACAAGAGAACGGATCAGATTCAAGAACTTTTGTCTGAAGAAATGCGCAAATATGACAGGTTGTATAAGCGGTTTGGATTCACGGAGGGAGATCGCCGCAAACGCCGGTTTTCCGGTCGAGAGTTGCACAAAGTTGCAGAGGAAAAGCATGCAGAAGCATGCGCATGCTTCTGCGTCGTTGCGTCGACGCACTCGTTTCAATTCATGGTTCTGCGTGTGTTGCAGGAATCTGAGACTCCGTAAAGGATGTAGTTAGCGGACCAATCTTTATCTGGAATATAATTGGATTATGCACTTTAGTCAAATACAAGGGAAAAAAGATTGTCTATTCGGTTTGGTACTTAATTTAGAAGAATACGCTCATAATTGCTGGAATGTAAAAATTTACAACAACATTTTTACACAAACAAGGGGATTATAGAGGTAGAGATAATGCAGAAGAAGCTAAAGACCTTATATAGAGATTTGACTATTTTGAGCTATATGTTAAATTAACACATGCTCAACAGGAGGGATGGAAAGGCTCTACATCGTTTAGCTGTACTAAGTACTGGTAATCATTTTTTGCTATTGATTGATTGTGAAAAACACAATCCCAAATTTAAATTACGAGAAAAAATTAGTATGAACTTCATTGAACTAAATCAATGTAAAGAAAAGGATTATTATCTGACAATCATAGAGATTCCCAAAATGGATTAAAATGTTTTTAACAGAAGCACAGGATGTTTTAACAAAGGCAAAAAGCCTCAACAGAAGAAAGTAGAACGAGGGTTGAGATACTGGAATTTTTTGTTTTGAACATTACACATTTTGTCAACAAAGTAACAACATATCTGATTTCTACTTTTGGGAAGAATGTGAAATATAATTTGCTCTTATTACCCATAGTAAGCAGGACTGAAGGAAAAAATAAATGGTACGATAAGATTAAATCAAGAAAATAATGGGTAAGACGGAAAATAATTGTATTCAATGTAGCCTCAGTATGATGAAGTCACAAACTAAGTAGCATTAGAGGGCTCTAATTTCTGAACTATTACATCATGGAATGTATTATTTTACTAAGCTTAAACCATTTGTTAAAGAAAATGAACAAATGAGAGGAAACATAACAGAGAATATGAAAATAAAAGAAATTACTCTTCACTGGCTACCGGTGGCCGCCCGCATCCAGTTCAAAGCATTGGTGCTCACGTACCATGCTGTGAATGGATCGGGTCCAGCTTACATCCAGGACATGGTCAAACCCGACATCCCGACCCGCACTCTCCGCTCTGCATCTGCAAAACGGCTCATCCCTCCCTCCCTGAGAGCTAAAGACTCGACTAGATCACGACTCACGACCTGCTGTCCTTGCTCCGAAATGGTGGAACGAGCTCTCTGGAGACACCAGGGCCGCAGAGAGCCTTCACATCTTCTGACTAAAGACACACCTCTTCAGACTCTACCTCGACTAAAAGACTAACAATTTGTAGCACTTAAATTGTACTTGTAACGCCACTTATCTATAGCAAATTGTAAATTGGCTTATTTGAGGAAATTGCACTTTCTTGTTTCTTGTTCTTCTGAGTTTGTATCCTTCTGGTTGAATGCACTTATTTGTAAGTCACTTTGGATAAAAGCGTCAGCTAAATGACATGTAATGTAATATATGTACCATATATATATATATATATATATATATATATATATATATATATAAATAAAAGGAATATGTACAATAAAATTTAAAAAAACTGCAGGTAATCCAGGTTTTACTTTTCATAGGGACTTACACCTCATGTGGCAGTCGGATGAGTCTGGACCTCATGTTTGCTAAAGCAGCACATATGATAAGAATCTTATCCAACCTCGGGGTCATGGAGATGGGGACAGTTTGGGACAGAATTTTGAAGACTTTAAGTCTTCGGATTGCCCTCTCCACATATATACGGACATTGGCCACTCGTCTAGTGCGCGTTACCTGCTCATTGGTCAATTGACCACGCTTGTAGGTAAAGGCAGGAATATTTAATTTCACCTTCCTTTCATGTAGTACATCTCGAATCGGGAAACCCCTGTCAGCCATTACCTCATCACCAGGCCTTAGGGCCTCCAGAAACCCACTGTTTATAGTGATGAACTTATCACTGCTTTTACCAGCATAGGCCTCTGATATAAACATTATCAGCCTGAGGTGACACAGCAACAAGATATTTGGCAGTATTGGTTCCCTTGTAATGACTGAAAGTGGCACTCCTACAGTTAAGGTTTATAGCTCTCTGAATAGCCGTTTCAGCACAATCGATGATGCAAGTGGTCTGGGTGTGGTTCTTTTTAAAGGATGGTGGCATGTTAGCACGAATAACACTTCTTGGCAGCCAGGCAACCATGGGTTCAAGCTGCTCACCCAATGTATCAATCCAGTGAGCAATCACCTTACTTACTTCACCTTTAGACACTTTAAAGCGCTTTGCCACATCCCCCAACACAAGGTTCAGTTCAGTTTCATGAGGGTCATCAGTATTTCGTCAACAACAGGAATACTACATGATGGTTTACTAAATGGCAACATCGTTTTCACCAAAGTAAAAAAATATAATAGACACAGTCCTGTGTACGGGGGAGCACATCCACATTGGCGCCTTGTAGATGGTTGATGGTCGAAACATTCTCCTTCCGACCAAACATTCAGCAATCGCCACGAGTTGTTGCAACCGTGAACAGCACAACATGTCCCGGAGCCAGGTCGGCGTGTAACACCATCTATAGTTTACTTTTTCTGCACGCTAACCAAAGACAGTAAAAGATGCTAACTCGCTAACCGGAAGTGCTTGGCAGACACAACCGGAAGTTGTTGGCAGAGTGAAAGGCCAATGGCGGCCCGCCTATTTCACTCAGGAAACTTGTCTATAGCTCCTCGCAGTGTTTGGATCGCTCTAATACTTGGTATTGGAGGACTACAGCAGCGTCGGATGGATGCTACCATGAATAACCAATTTAAATCAACATAATTCTCAACAGGACGATGAGAATTGGGGAAACCTGCAACATGCTACGGGAGGTCATCTCGATCCCCTGACCGATTCACTCAAAAAAAGGCTATTGGCTGGTTGTTACATTTACTTTACTGCAACATGTATTTCGAACGATATTAATTCCGTATATCGTTTCCGATGTGAACGTGATTCAGTCATGTAGGATTTGCATGAACTTCAGAAACTAACATTTATTAGATTCATTCACGTTGCGATAAACTGAGACAATCGAGTATCTGACATGACCGCGAAAACCAAGGCGAAGACCGTCTATCACAACCCGATTAAGAAGATAACCGTTGGCCCGCACTTGGAAAAGATAAGCAGATATCCACCGCCATCCGTCGAAATGTAAAACAATTATATGTGCATTACTGTCTTCATATCTTAGCTAGCTGTGCTGTTGAGGCTATTTATTATTTAGTGTTATTTTTGACCAAATTTGAAAAGCCGACAGTCCCCATGTGCATGGCTAGCAATGCTTAGGTTAGCTAACGTTAAGTTGTCTCCTTTTTGCAACCTGCCACATAACTTGCCGATGTGAACGGTGAGTTAGTGTTAATCAGGAATCAGGAATCAGGAAACATTTATTTGCCAAAATATGCTAAACATACAAAGAATTTGTCTTGGCGGTTAGTGCGCGACAGTAGACAGACAAGACAACAGTGCACAAGTAATAAAATAAAGTAGAATGAAATGCTAATGCCATGGGTTAGTAGAATAAGGCTATGGGTTAGTATAAAACAAGGTAATAAAGTTAAAAATTTTAAATATTAAAAAAGTTAAAAAGAAAAATATTAAGCATAAAGTGCACTAACGAACAAGTAACAGACAAGTAACAAAGTGACGAGTGACGACAAAGTGATGAATTGCAGTTAAAGTGGCATGTGCAGTGTGAAGGGGAGTGACCGGTGGAATGTTATAGTCAGTCAGTGGGGGACCGGGCTCTGTTGATGAGCCCGACTGCCGACGGGAAGAAACTGTTCGTGTGGCGGGAGGTCTTAGTCCTGATGGACCTCAGCCTCCTGCCAGATGGAAGGGGCACAAACAAACAAGGTAACGTGTTAGCAATATATTCTAAGGTTCACAACTAGCTAACGTTCACTTAGAAATAAATGCTAATGATGTTTGCATACTCCTTGTAGAGTTAAATTAGCGCGCTAACGTTAGCACGCTGACACTTAGCTAAACTGCTGGATTTGAATGAAAATAAATTACTAAGCACACACTTCGTTAA